TGAGAGTTTAGTATAAAGTAGGAAAGATAGGGTGGGGGGAGGGTGAGTGGCTTTATGCTTCATAGCGTCACGTAATGCCCAACAGGTGTGTGTGTGTGTGTGTGTGTGTCTGTGTGAGTGTGTCTGTGTGAGTGTGTGTGTGGGTGTCTGTGGGTGTGTGTGTGTGTGTGGGTGTTACTGATTGTATGAGGCCAGGTAACATGTAAGCTAAAATTAAACGTAGTGATTTTCTCAGAACAGAATACCATCTAGTTTATGGATTCTTGGCTAATGGTGGTTTAACAGGGGTTTGGGGTGGGCTAATGGGGTTTAATGGGGTTGGAGTGGGCTAATATTGTTTTAGGTACATATATATATATATATATATATATATATATATATATATATATATATATATATATATATATATATATATATATATATATATATATATATATATATAGGTGCGAATTTTTAATTTTTCCCAACATGTTTTCGCCTGCATATGGCTGCCCACCAGCTGTAGTATTAGTCCGCCAATACAGTAATCGGTTTTAGGGCTTAAATTCCTTACCATTTTAGTAAATATCAAGAAGGTTGTACTATTCAATAATTTTAAAAGTTTTATATTAAATTTTTTTAGTCATTTTAACAATTATTGAACATAATTGAAGTACAGGAAGCTAGTTTTTTGCATGCCAAACAGCCACTCAACACACCAAGCTTGGTGTCAGTTTGTTTACCAGTTCAGAGGAAGGAACATATTGTTTGAGACTCTTCAAAATAAAATTTTTTCTGTGTTTCCAGTCAAATTATTGGTCATTTTGAAAAATATTTTACATATTGATAATATATAGCGCAGTGCAGTGTTGATTTAAAGAAAATAATCTTGAATTACACCAAGTAAACTAAAATTTTATGGGTGAAATGGCAGCATGGGGTGACTTCTCTTCCACCCCAATGCCTTCTATTTCCCATCATCATCATCATCAACCAGGAGCCTTCTACATGCACACCTCAAAGTAAGTGTACTTTACTGCATCTGTTTTTAGTTTGTATGTAATTTTCGGTGAGCTGGAACCAATTACCCCAAAACCCATTGAAATAATCGGTTAACGAGCAACCTTGTGGAACGAATTGTGCTCATTAACCGAGGAACCAATATATACTGTGTGTGTGTGTGTGTATATATATATATATATATATATATATATATATATATATATATATATATATATATATATATATATATATATATATATATATATATATATATATATATATATATATATATATATATATATATATATATATATATATATATATATATATATATATATATATATATATATATATATATATATATAAATCTTGATAAAATCACACAGGAAAATGGAAACAACGGAGTACCTTAGCTTTCGTCTTTATTCAAGACATCTTCAGAGGCAACTGGATTACATGGACAGAGAGAGGCTTAAATATACAGGGTGACCTAAAAACATGAGGTCAGGTCATAATGATGACATCCACTAATCCCCACACCAACATACACGTAGAGGAGCTTAAGAAAAGGGTGATGACGTGACTAGACAGGTCAGGTCAGAAAAAAGGGACCCACAAAATAACTATCATACATCAAGATCAAAGGTTTTCAAAGCATTTTTAACCTTGGGCCACTGACAAATAAATTTATGTAACATATTATCAGTTTTGAACTGACCATCACTAAGGTTTATTGATTTTAATTCCTTAATCAAACTAGCTTCAACCAGAAGTCTTTCTGTGACACAAGATGATTTGAATACTTCTAAGCTTTTTTCCCAAGCAATGGGGTGATTATTATTCCTAACATGAACGAACAAGGCACTTACTTTCATTTCTTAAAGATAAATTACAACTGCTAGATTTAACTATTGAACATGATACTTTCCTGAAATTGATAGAGTTATGTGTAACTGACAATGTGTTTAGAGCAAATGGGAAGTTCTACAAACAAATATTTGGCATGAGCATGGGTAATTGTCTTTCTGCTCCTCTAGCCTGTATTTATATGGAGTTTTTTGAGTCTAGATTACTACCCAATATAGTGGACTTTATTCCTCCATGGTATAGATATGTAGATGATGTTCTTTGTCTTTGGCATAAAAACAGTGACCCATTGGAATTTTTAGACAAGCTTAATAATATTATCCCTAGTATCACATTCAAAATTGAAAGAGAAATAAATGAATCCCTTCCACTTCTTGATATGCTTATTATGAGAAATGGCCAAAACTATAAATTTAAGGTGTATAGAAAGCCCACACAGGTAGACAGTTTCATTCACTTTTTATCGAATCACCTTGAGTCTACCAAAATGTCAGTTTTTTCTGCTATGTTCCTAAGATGTCTGCGTATTTGTGACTCTGAATTTATTGACGATGAATTTAAACACATTCGTTCTATTGCACAGAAACTTGGGTACCCTTCTGTGTTTGTTGATCAATGTTTTAAAAGGGCTAAAAAATCCTTTCATTCCTCTCAAACCAGACAAGTTCCTACACTTAAGAATATTTTGACTCTGCCCTATCGTATTGAATTTGTCCCGTTAGTTCGGTCCCTCAAGCTTCTAAATATTAATGCTGTTTTCAAGTATGACTCAACCATTACCAATATGTTAATAAGGAATAGCCCAAGTTTGAATGTAAATGGAAGTGTTTATTATATTCCATGTAGCAAATGTAATTGTAATTATGTAGGACAGACAGGAAAAACACTGCAGCTCAGAATCAAACAACATAAGTACAATATCAGAACAGCATCTGAAAGCAGTGCCTTGTTCGTTCATGTTAGGAATAATAATCATCCCATTGCTTGGGAAAAAAGCTTAGAAGTATTTAAATCATCTTGTGTCACAGAAAGACTTCTGGTTGAAGCTAGTTTGATTAAGGAATTAAAATCAATAAACCTTAGTGATGGTCAGTTCAAAACTGATAATATGTTACATAAATTTATTTGTCAGTGGCCCAAGGTTAAAAATGCTTTGAAAACCTTTGATCTTGATGTATGATAGTTATTTTGTGGGTCCCTTTTTTCTGACCTGACCTGTCTAGTCACGTCATCACCCTTCTCTTAAGCTCCTCTACGTGTGTGTTGGTGTGTGGATTAGTGGATGTCATCATTATGACCTGACCTCATGTTTTTAGGTCACCCTGTATATTTAAGCCTCGCTCTGTCCATATAATCCAGTTGCCTCTGAAGATGTCTTGAATAAAGACGAAAGCTAAGGTAATCCGTTGTTTCCATTTTCCCGTGTGATTTTATCAAGATTTATCTTATCCACGTTTTCATTGTGGATTTACATGAAATAAATAAATAAATAAATAAATATATATATATATATATATATATATATATATATATATATATATATATATATATATATATATATATATATATATATATATATATATATATATATATATATATATATATATATATATATATATATATATATATATACATCTTCAGGATGAGTGCAATGAAAGGACTGACATTGAATGAAATGTAATTGAGAAGGTTTTAGGGATCAACCTAAACCTAAAAATCAGTTTGATTCTGAAAAAAACATTTGGTACGAGAGAAGCAGTGACCTTCCAGGTGTCCTGAAGCATTGATCATAAAGGTACTGTATTAGGATTATAAAAATCTACTTTTGGCATCAGTGTTAACATAGTATATAGTGAAATTATTAGTTGTCTTAGGGTTAGACAGTGAGTTCCATAAGGTAGGGGTTTTTTATCAGATGAATAAAAGCATACAGTATAACATTACAACTTTCAACTAATACAATATTTTCTAGTAAAGAAGACTGATATTTACCTCAATGTAATCCAGCTTTGACAACACCCCACGTAAGTCTCCAACCCCATCTGCATTTGAGTCTTGGAAACTTGGGACATAAATTTCATACATGACTGAGCCTTGCCACCACATGTGTGTTGGATCACACTCAGTCCCTTGTGGCATCTGTTTACAAATATCAAAATCTTTATTATAATGGTTATGCTTTTCTATTATTTTATGAACAATTGTGGACAAAAATAATGAACCAGGGAGGGAGTGTAAGCTGTGCCCAGCACAAAACTAAACTAAAATATAATTAAATTTGTGGCATGGAAAGAAAACCAGAGACTTTTAATCACCACCTCTAAGTGACAGTGAGAAAGTGTACAGAGAATGAAGTATCCTCCACCTAACACAACCTTCCATACACTACTTCCCTGCATGCCTGCCTGCCTGATGAATTCTTTTGATCCACAATTGTACAAATACTTAAAGGATGTCAAAATTCTTAACCATGTAAAATACAAATGTTTGATGGAGGAAACAATACCAACTATGTCATTCTCATCAGGAAACCCTGAGACCCAAGAGTTACTACGAGGTGATCTACCAGAAATAACCACTACATTACGTCTTTATTCACGCCATGGATGGAATCTCAGAAAACCTAACGCTGGGTGAAACAATGTAAATTGGTATGTATTTTCCCTTAAGACTTATTGAAACAGTGAATAAATACTGTAATAGCAGATGATGAGAAAGTGTACAGAGAGAATGAAGTTGTCTTCCAGGCTTTGGCCAAAGTGAAATGAAACCTGACTACTATCCAACAGTGAATGGTGTCACTGACAACCCTTTTCCAAGGTTCCACAGACCTGCTAACTGTTCATGGGCTCCACATGCATGTGTTGAAAAGCCCAACTGTTCTGCGATGTATTCGTCAAAACATTTGCCTTTGTCTGTACAGTATCCACCTCACAACACAGCAGGTCTTGCCAGGGTAGAACACTCCTACTAAGTACACCAACAACCCAAATACATCTGACATTGTTAAATAAATAAAGAAGTTTCTTTCCAAATTACCTATCAGTCATTACTACAGTATTATCGAATCAAATAAAATATAATCAATTATAATTAGGAATTATTTTACAAATTTTATTACCTACATGAAGGTAATTAACACTGTCACTTACCTGAATGAGTCAACACCTACACAGAGAAGAAGGATGGACATGTTGAGCAGCACACACGTCTGACTACGGGCCCAGTTCCAGCCAACATAGAAAGAATCCTTGTACTTGACATCAATGTGAACATCAGAAGCCAACATGAGGCGTCCCAGTAACGGCTGCATGTAAGTAAAATTTTCAAATCAATTACGACACGAATTAATTTTGAATTACTTAACACACATGTTGTATTATTTTGTTTGTTAGGACAAGTGAGAATTCATATTTACTATTAGCTTCAAATACACCTTGTTAATGGAACATACTGTAAGGTGTATATACTGGTACATATTATGAAAAATAAATTATATCTTTACTAGCCAGTACCAACTCTGTACAGTAATGCTATAAATGAAGAAAATAAGTTAATTAACATATCAAGAAAAAGTCATAATTACACATGTTCAAAAATTCTAGATGACTAGTGTAAACAATTTAGTCTCCTGTGGGACTGTTTAAGCATCTAATTTATCTAACTCATCAAAATATCCTTTTTTAGAGGTACATAAAAAGTCCAAAAATCCGGATGCCAGAAATCCGGACCCCTGAGAATCCGGACTTTTTGAAAACTAAATTTTTTTTTTTTTAGCTGGCTTTTTGGTGTGTGCATGCGTGAGCGCCCACAGCAGCAGACAAGCAACCACGCGGGTCGCCACTTTAAAACGAGCAATCAAACTGTGACAATGTATGTAATTTTGAATCCTACTCTTCCATATACAGAGTACTGCAAGCCCATAATAATGGCTCCTAAAGTAGATAAACTTTGTTGGTGAAGAGAAGCATATTGAAATTGAATGACAAACTTGAAATAATTAAGAAACTAGAACGTGGTGTGAGCAATACTGATCTAGTGGAAACATACGACATCGGAAAGTCTACAATTTATGATATAAAAAAGGCAAAGAATAAAAGTCTAGAATTCACAGCTTTTTCTTTAAAACTGCTCGTTTTGATAAATGAAGCATGCTATATTTGCTAATGAATAAACTATCACAATGTACCTGTTCATCTCTTCTCTATTCCTCCTTAAATTTGAATTTTAAAAGTACTGCCTGAGAATCCAGAAAATCCGAAAATCCGGATTTTTGGACTTCTACTGTATATTATTTAGTCAAAAAGATGGGAAATACAGTAATGAATAACAAAACCTTAACTCTGCTGCAGCCATTTTATGATATACATTTTAGAATTCTATTGATAAAAAAGGAATATTTATTTTTTACTGGGCAATAATTTAATAATCATCAGTCATACCAAAGTATGCCTCTCTAAGAATTTGTTTTTGTAATCTATAGAAGAATTTGTAACAAGCAATGACTAAATAAATCATTATAAATTACATATAAACTGATGATGTTGCCAATTTCCAACCTTTCTTGGGATAATTGATTACCTAATGGCAGCTCTCTAAACTGTGCAGTTACTTGCAGCCTCTCATGAGGTTCTTGTCTGCGAGGGCATTTCCACAGCCTCTTGCTATGTCACTCTTCACCCATCCTTGGTTCTCCTTCCCTCCAAATTCAAATTCATGCACCTCTTAACCCAGCTGATCTCCTCCATTCTCTACATGTCCAAACCATCTCAACCTGCCTCTATGAAAAGCCTCACCAATACTCTCAATACCCAGCTGTCCTCTTTGCTATCAAAAGGTTTTCCTATCTTTCAGTGTCACATTGCACCAATTTCATTTCATCTCACTCATTGCAGGAACACATTAGGTTTGCGCTAAGCAACAAGAGGCAGTAGAGCAACACTGATGTGCTGACCACTATATGGTGTGTATTGATGGAGTAACTAGAGAGCAACTGTTACACTTAATAAGAGGATGGTGTTCACTTATCTCCCTCTCCTCCTAAACAGGTAAAGGAACATATATCCCTGTTCCCCAGTAAGCATCCTGTATTACAAGAGCTCCCTGGCTTTAGGGCACTACAGTACTGAGAATTTTGTCATAGTCTGAGCTTTATATACACAATAAATTCAGAATAATTTTCCTCATTAGAACTTCACAATGAAAAAGTTTGAGTATAAGCGATAAACAATTTACAAACATTTATACATAAACAAGAATGAACAAATACAACAATAAAAATCTATAAAATAAATAATAAGGAAGCAGCTGTACTGTACCTTAAAGTGGGGTGCTGCAATGACACATACAGGGAGGAGGCTGCTGCAGGAGGGTGGCAGTGCATCAATGCCACAAGTAATATACAGATGCTACAAATCTTACATGCAATTATCTGTCAGTGATGACAAAAAAGAAAAACACTAATTCATGCGACTAATTCAAATAAGCTCTTTAATTCTCATCATAATAATTTGTTTATCTTAGTACTGTATTATATGTACACATATAATGTTCTCTTAAATAAGTGAATATTATATGAATAACCGGCTAGATATACAGTAAAGCTTGCTGGTGTGTTTTGTGAGATGTGGCAACTCTGTGGAGTGTTTATCTAGCATCCTTAGTCTGGCCACTACTGTGAGGTTCCTTCACGCCATTCTGAGAGTTTAATACTGGTGGTCTGATTATATTCATCAGCCAAAATATTGTACTGTACTCCTGTTAGCATTCTAATGATGAAAATATCGTCATCAACTTAAAAAATTCACCAAAAATCTAATTATCGCTTCATTTTCGTGATTCAAGTCTCAAAATGCATTCATCCCTTTGTTGATGCACAACTGTGGTGGATGTGAGGTGTTGGGATAACCGCCCTGTAGGCTTACAAGCATCAGTCTGTCCCAAGGATTTACAGCTCACAGACACTACCCGCTCCCTCGTTATATTCACTTGTACAGTATTATGTTGGTGTTAGTTTCAACTTCGCCTGTATAATAGCATTTTAGAGCAATAATTTGTGAAAAAATACATATTTAAAAAAAAAAAATTAATACGATGGAAAATAATGTCAAACAAAAAAGAAATACTGTACAAACATTTATTCTGCGATTGTCCTCAGCTGAGTAAGCTGTGCCTACCTTGGGCAGTAACATGTGCCCCAAAAGTGCTAATACAATGTAAACAAACAGAGTTGCCATATCATAAAAAATGCACCAGCCACTGTACCAGGTTTAAGTGCAGGCAATTGTACCTTAGTATGGCATAAACTTGTATGGTGTTGGGCATTATGACATAATGGAGGACTATGTATGGTGAACAATATCTGCTGCCGAGGGTAACACTGTACGGTGCTATTATATTATCCTCTTTGTTCCTGGGGACTAATATGGCCCTGAACCCCCTATCAGATGTACCACATTTTACCTATAAATGGCTTATAATGTTTACTGTCTATGTTATATTACCCTGTTATACTGTCTCTACTATTGTTCTTCTTATTTCTTAGTGAAGATTTACAAAATACACATTATGCACAAAACTTATGATTATAATGGGATAAAGCACTGATATATACAGTATGAGCATTTTTTAATTTTTTTTTCTGGTTCCCTTTCCATAATAAATGTTTGTGGAATGAATAGATAAAACGTATTGTGAGCCCACGTTTCTCCTTTTCAATAAATGATTTCCTCCAATTATTGGCGTGTGAATGTTGAGTCACTTACACACACATTATCTACTGCTATATCACAACAGTTCCTCCCACGCACCACCATAATCAACCCCACATCACCTCAATACTTACCCCAACACACAGTACAGTATATATATGTCTGGTAATACGACTAGGGGTTATCAGACCATTCCACCAAAATGACGCAGAGCAGCATGCCACAAGGACATAGAAGGTACTCCCTCTGACTGCATGAGTTAACAGTTACTTAGCAGTGGTGCCAGCATGTGATATATTTAAGATTCCATATATTGTACTGTACTGTACAGGGTGTCTCACAGGTACAAGGCGAGGAGCTAAACACAATCAGATGTTTCCCTATGCTAAACTTAAGAATATGTAAGCTTGTGTTGCATATTATATACAGTGCTTCTAAAATGGGAAATGGAAATGAACAGAAATCTAAAAAAAAATTGAAAACAAATCAATATGCTTTATAATTCAAAATTCAAGATTGGTGAACAAATGTGGTATTGCTGTATCTAACTTGTCACTTTTAAAGAGTAACATTAAACTGTTTTACATGTCAAATACCTATACTGTACAGTAGTACAGTGCTATAAAGACTAACCTACCCAGGTGTTAGGTGTACAATTGTGCTCTTAGTATGAGTTCCACCTTCTTCCTACTGAGGGTGCCTTAATGAGGTCACCACAGGAAGTGAGGCATGACTACCTACTCCTCCCTCACAAAGTAGACCACATATGTACACTTAATAAAATGTTTTGTTTAGAACTTTTCCTCTAATAATCTCTCTGCTTCAAAACATATGACACAAGGCAACCTCCGGTTAACAAGACCAAGTTGGTTAGGATATTGCTTGTGTAGAAACTATAATCTGATTTAATGCACTACCTCAACTATAACCAAATTGTTTAATCTTTCATTTGTTTTAACAACGATCAAACCTGATGAAAATATTAATGGGCCTCTGAAGTGATCTGATAATGTATACAGTATTCTTAACCTATTTCAGTTGTCACAAGAATCTATACAAGTCTTAACAAGTAAAAAACTTAAATCACAGAGCAATTAAGCTAAGATAAACTTAGTAATTACTGTAAAGTATAAATCAGGTAGCAAAATAATATGTATGAAAGTCACAAAAGGCAACATCATGCACATTAAACTTATTAATGTCAACAGAAATACTAATCCAATGAACTTACAATCTGTAAATAAGATCTTGGCTACTACAACAACAACATATACCAGCTCACAACCTACTCACTAGGCACTGACAGAAAAATAGGACATCCTAATAAAAATGATCAAAACTGTACATGCCAGGTTACCTGAATTTTGTTTGGGATATCCGTCACATCCACAAATATGTCAAGAGGATCATGCTGAGAAAGAAACGTGATATGAATACCATGAAACAAGTACACTACACATTATCACTGTTGGGAGAGAAACCTAAACCTGTTGAGTAATATTTTGAGTTGTTAAAATTTTCTACTCACGACAAAATATCAAGACATAATGAACTGTGTCTCTGAATGATGAAACATTTCCAATGCAAGTATAGTAATGCTGCCTGATACTGGATGTGATGTAGCTCCCCATTTACACCAAAAACCTTATCTTTGTCAAAAACAGCAAGGTTAAGTTCCATACCTTGAGGGACTGTGAGAGTTAGTGCTGGGTCAGGTTGACACATAACATGCTAATTCTAAGCTTGTAGCATAAACTTAGCCAAATAAATATGCCAATAAAAAATTCCAGGAATGTGAAATCCCATTTTATGACAGAAGAAAAACAAGTGACTTGTGAGATGACCCAACTGAACAACCACTGACAGCCTTCCTTGTACCTGAGGGAAATATCTGTATTCTAAAGACAGGCACATTTTTCATTAAGATCAGAATAAACGTGGTAAATTTCAACTTGTCCAGGTGAAGCGGATTTATGATGCAGGTTCTAACCCCGGGTTGGTGGCTCCATGTTGCTTTGAAAGACCAGAGTCCTCAGGTTCAACAAAGACAAATTTTAAACTGGATCTTTATAATCGTACTTCTTTGTCATCAAGAGGGGAATTGGACATTAAACCTACAGTACATGGAATCCCATCAGGCCCCAGCCTGTTAGGAAACACCTCATGACTTGGATGTGTTAGACTGGTTCCCAACACCACCAGGTATGACAGCTCCCCACACAATGTCACCAGCAAACTTTTGCTGCAGGCATCACAACCCCCCATCCAACTACTATACTGTACAGTATATCCCTATGAATAAAAATGAATCCAGAGGTTGTCTCATGAATTAGTGGAGACTGTCAAGCCAGCACCTCAACTCATCAGTTCATTGGCTCAAATCCCATTCTAATCATCCAGGAAGACTGGGCACCACCTTTCAGTTCTTTGCCTACTCGTATATGAGATTTCACTCGTGCAATGAGTGGAAATTCAGTCTTTCACTCTCCTTCTAAGCCAAAAATGAGTTTCCATTCTTCAATCCTCCATTTATGGCTTACAGAACTTTATCAGAGACCTGTAGGACTTAAGAAACACTAAAGGAAAAGGGAAGAGGTCATATATCCAGTGAATGTCTGTAATGAGCCCCATACAAGGCAGTGTAACACTGAGAACCACATAGTTTAGACACGTAAGATCATCTTGAAATTCATACTCTGGCTGACACTAAAGTTAATTAATTCAAGTGAAGATAAAACTGACAATTCCTCAAATTCAAAGAGGAGAGTAAATTGTTTGTGCTAAGACTGCACGGTGAGAAAGTGTGATGTTATCAGTTTATATAATTATCAAATGAGATATCTTTAAAATAAATTACCTTAGATAAATATGATGAAATTCCGTTAAACTATTTAGCAGAATCTGCATTAATAGACTCCAACACAGAAGTAATAGACAGGAGATAGACATCTACAGTAATGTACTTCCTGCCAAGAACTGCACAGTAATAATTACATTAAATTCTGCAGGGTTTCATGTAAGTTATCTCTGCATACAACTAAACTAATATGTACATTAAATTCCAGCAACTTTGTCAACTTACACCTTTGAAAAAGAGGAATTAATAAAGAGTAAAACTTACCGAGAATACGGCTGTGTCTTGGCAGATCATACAAAAGTATAACTAGGAGGTGATTCTCAATGAGTATTTGTGAGAGTATAAAAGAGAACGGTGAAGCAGAGATTAACTTTATGATTAACCTTCATGTCTACAGTTGTCAGAGAGTCTCTTCCATGTGATGGTTCAGTACTGTACTACATTATTGTACTCACTATTGTACAATCCATATTCAGTATCTCAAACAACCTACCCTTCCTTGCCTTACAACGTTCCCTTTGTTTCAACATGTACACGTACCCAGGCAGTTACATCAAGAAACATTATTCATTTGTCTACTAAACTAACAGTTTGTGAGTACTGTACTCTACTGTACTCTAAAACCTGAAATATTTGATTTGATATTTTTTATTAATTTACTAAAGCAATTACTGGAAGAAAAAGAAATATATGGGGGGTTGTTTGAAACACTATATGTGGGGGTAATTTGAAACACTATATGGGGGGTTAGTTTGAAACACTGTATGTGGGGGTGTTTGAAACACTAAATGGGGGGGTAGTTTGAAACACTGTATGTAGGGGTAGTTTGAAAACTATGGGGGTAATTTAAAACACTATATGGGGTTAGTTTGAAACATTGTATGGGGTAGTTTGAAACACTATATGGGGGTAATTTGAAACACTGTATGTGGGGGTATTTGGAAACACTGTATATGGGGGGTAATTGGAAACACTATATGTGGGGGGTATTTGAAACACTGTGATGTGGGGGTAGTTTGAAACACTGTATGGGGTAGTTTGAAACACTGTATATGGGGGGTAGTTTGAACACTGTATATGGGGGTGAAGTTTGAAACACTATATGGGGGTAGTTTGAAACACTATATGGGGGGGCAGTTTGAAACACTGTATGTGGGGGAGTAGTTTGAAACATTATGGAGGGTAGTTTGAAACACTGTATGTGGGGGTAGTTTGAAACACTTATATGGGGTGGTTTGAAACACTGTATGTGGGGGTAGTTTGAAACACTATATGGGGGTAGTTTGAACACTGTATGGGGGTAGTTTGAAACACTATATGGGGGTAGTTTGAAACACTGTATGTGGGGGTAGTTGAAACACTATATGGGTTTGGAAACACTATATGGGGGTAGTGAAACACTATATGGGGTAGTTTGGAACACTGTATGTGGGGATAGTTTGAAACACTGTATGTGATGAACACTGTATATGGGGGTAGTTTGAACTGATATGGGGGGTAACACTATATGGGGTAGTTTGAACACTATGGGGGGGCAGTTTGAAACACTGTATGGGAGTAGTTTGAAACACTATATGGAGGGTAGTTTGAAACACTGTATGTGGGGTAGTTTGAAACACTATATGGGGTGTTTGAAACACTGTATGTGGGGGTAGTTTGAAACACTATATGGGGGTAGTTTGAAACACTGTATGTGGGGGTAGTTTGAAACACTATATGGGGGGTAGTTTGAAACACTGTATGTGTAGTTTGAAACACTATATGGGGGGTTTGAAACACTATATGGGGTAGTTTGAAACACTATATGGGGGTAGTTTGAAACACTGTATGGGGGTAGTTTGAACACTATATGGGGGTAGTTTGAAACACTGTATGTGGAGGGGTAGTTTGAAACACTATATGGGGGTAGTTTGAAACACTATATGGGGGGTAGTTTGAAACACTATATGCGGGAGTTTGAAACACTATATAGGGAGGTAGTTGAAACACTATATGGGGGTAGTTTGAAACACTGTATGTGGGGGTAGTTTGAAACACTATATGGGGTAGTTGAAACACTATATGGGGGTAGTTTGAAACACTGTATGTGGGGGTAGTTTGAAACACTGTATGTGGGGGTAGTTTGGAACACTGTATGTGGGGAGTAGTTTGAAACACTATATGAGGGGTAGATTGAAACACTATATGGGGTAGTTTGAAACACTATATGGGGGTAATTTGAACACTGTATGTGGGGGTAGTTTGAAACACTAGGGGGTAGTTTGAAACACTGTGTGGGGGTAGTTTGAAACACTATATGGGGGGTAGTTTGAAACACTGTATGTGGGGGTAGTTTGAAACACTATATGGGGGGTAGTTTGAAACACTGTATGTGGGGGGTATTTGAAACACTATATGGGGGTAGTTTGAAACACTGTGTGGGGGTAGTTTGAAACACTATATGGGGGGTAGTTTGAAACACTGTATGTGGGGGTAGTTTGAAACACTATATGGGGGTAGTTTGAAACACTATATGGGGGGGGTAGTTTGAAACACTATATGGGGGGTAGTTTGAAACACTATATGGGGGTAGTTTGAAACACTATATGGGGGGTAGTTTGAAACACTGTATGTGAGGGTAGTTTGAAACACTATATGGGGAGTTTGAAACACTGTATGTGGAGGGTAGTTTGGAAACACTATATGGGGTAGTTTGAAACACTATATGGGGGTAGTTGAAACACTATATGGGGGGTAGTTTGAAACACTGTATGGGGGGTAGTTTGAAACACTATATGGGGTAGTTTGAAACACTGTGGGGGGATAGTTTGGAAACACTATATGGGGGGTAGTTTGAAACAATGTATGTGTAGTTTGAAACACTATATGGGGGTAGTTTGAAACACTGTATGTGGGGGGGTGAACACTATATGGGGGGTAGTTTGAAACACTATATGGGGGGTAGTTTGAAACACTATATGGGGGTAGTATGAAACACTATATGGGGGTAGTTTGAAACACTATATGGGGGTAGTTTGAAACACTGTATGTGAGGGGTAGTTTGAAACACTATATGGGGGTAGTTTGAAACACTGTATGTGGAGGGTAGTTGAAACACTATATGGGGGGTAGTTTGAAACACTATATGGGGGTAGTTTGAAACACTATATGGGGGTAGTTTGAAACACTGTATGTGGGGGGTAGTTTGGAAACACTATATGGGGGTAGTTTGAAACACTGTATGGGGGAAGTTTGAAACACTATATGGGGGTAGTTTGAAACACTGTATGTGGGGGGTAGTTTGGAAACACTATATGGGGTAGTTTGGAAACACTGTATGTGGGGGGTAGTTTGAAACACTATATGGGGGTAGTTTGAAACACTGTATGTGGGGAGGTTTTGAAACATATATGGGGTAGTTTGAAACACTATATGGGAGTTTGAAACACTGGGGTAGTTTGAAACACTGTATGTGGGGGTAGTTTGGAAACACTATATGGGGGTAGTTTGAAACACTGTATGTGGGGGATAGTTTGAAACACTATATGTTGAAACACTATATGGGGGGGAAGTTTGAAACACTTATGGGGGTAAGGAAACACTGTATGTGGGGGGTAGTTTAAACACTGTATGGGGGGAAGTTTGAAACACTATGGGGGTAGATTGAAACACTATATGGGTAGTTTGAAACACTATATGGGGGTAGTTGAAACACTGTATGTGGGGTAGTTTGAAACACTGTAGTGGGGGGTAGTTTGAAACACTATATGGGGGGGTAGTTTGAAACACTGTATGTGGGGGTAGTTTGAAACACTATATGGGGGTAGTTTGAAACACTGTATGTGGGGTAGTTTGAAACACTATATGGGGGTAGTTGAAAACACTATATGGGGGTAGTTTGAAACACTATATGGGGGTAGTATGAACAATTAAGGGGGGTAGTTTGAAACACTGTATGTGAGGTAGTTTGAAACACTATATGGGGTAATTGAAACACTGTATGTGGAGGGTAGTTTGAAACACTATAGTGCATGGGGGGTAGTTTGAAACACATGAGGGGTTAAACGCTATAGGAGGTAGTTTGAAACACTATATGGGGAAGTTAAACACTGTATGGGGGGTGTTTGAAACACTATATGGGGGTAGTTTGGAAACACTATATGTGGGGGTAGTTTGAAACACTGTATGTGGGGGGGTAGTTTGAAACACTGTATGTGGGGGTAGTTTGAAACACTATATGGGGTAGTTTGAAACACTGTATGGGGGTTGTTTGAAACACTGTATGTGGGGGGAGTTTGAAACACTTATATGGGGTAGTTTGGAAACACTATATGTGGGGGTAGTTATGAAACACTATATGGGGGTAGTTTGAAACAATGTAGTTTGAAACACTATGGGGGATTGAAACACTATATGGGGGGAGTTTGAAACACTATATGGGGGGAGTTTGAAACACTATATGGGGGGAGTTTGAAACACTATATGGGGGGTAGTTTGAAACACTATATGGGGAGGTAGTTTGAAACACTATATGGGGGTAGTTTGAAACTCATATGGGGTAGTTTGAAACACTATATGGGGGAGTTTGAACAATATATGGAGGATGACATGTGGGGTTTGGGGTGTTTGAAATGGGCACTATTGGGGAGTTGAAACACTATAGGGGGGAGTTTGAAACACTATAGGGGGGAGTTGAAACAATATGGGGTGTTGAAACACTATATGGGGAGGTAGTTTGAAACACTATATGGGGGTATGAAACTCTATATGGGGGTAGTTTGAAACACACAATTATATGGGGGAGTTTGAAACAATATATGGAGGGCAGTTTGAAACACTACACTATATGTGGGGAGTTTGAAACACTTAAGGGGAGTGTAGTTTGAAACTACACTATATGAGTTTGAAACAATATATGGGTTTGAAACTACACTATATGGGGGTAGTTTGAAACACTACACTATATGTGGGGAGTTTGAAACAATATATGGGGGGGTAGTTTGAAACTACACTATGTAGTTTGAAACAATATATGGGGTAGTTTGACTACACTATGTGGGGTAGTTTGAAACACTATATGGGGAGTTTGAAACAATATATGGGGAGGTAGTTTGAAACTACACTATATGGGGGGTGTTGAAACTACATATATAGAGTAGTTTGAAACACTATATGGGGGTTTAAAAAATATATGGGGAGGTAGTTTGAAACTACGCTATATGGGGTAGTTGAAACAATATATGGGGTTTGAACTGGTGTGAAACAATATGGGGAGGTAGTTTGAATACCTATGAGGGGTAGTTTGAAACAATATATGGGGGTGTTTGAAACACTATATGGGGGGAGTTTGAAACACTATATGGGGGAGTTTGAAACAATATATGGGGGTAGTTTGAAACACTATGTGGGGGAGTTTGAAATATGGGGGAGGTAGTTTGAAACTACACTATAAGGTAGTTTGAAACAATATATGGGGGTAGTTACACTATATGGGGGGTTTGAACATATATGGGGGAGTTTGAAACAATATGGGGAGGTAGTTTGAAACACTATATGGGGAGGTGTTGAAACACTATATGGGGGTATTTGAAACAATATATGGGGGAGGTAGTTTGAAACACTATATGGGGGGTAGTTTGAAACAATATATGGGGTGGTTTGAAACAATATATGGGGGGTTGTTTGAAACAATATATGAGTAGTTTGAAACTATATGGGGAGTTGAAACAATATATGGGTAGTTTGAAACAATATATGGGGGTAGTTTGAAACAATATATGGGGTAGTTTGAAACAATATATGGGGGGTAGTTTGAAACCCTATATGGGGGGGGAGTTTGAAACAATATATGGGGAGGTAGTTTGAAACACTACAGTATCTGGGGGTTGTTTGAATCACTGTATAGAGCTAAGATAAGGTTTCAAATTCACTCTTAACAAGGACTAAACTTTTAAAGGCCAATATGTAGTTTTCTCCAGTATGACTAACAAGGCACATAACACACGGTGATTAGACCAAGATAATGACGTGGTTTAACTACTTGTCACCACTTGACACGAACCGGGATTACACGGAGCTTAAGCTGAACACACAAGAGGAAGAGTTATTCCTACTTTAACCCTTTAAGGATGATGCTTTAACCCATTGAGGATGATGGTTTAACCTTTTAAGGATGATGGTTTAACCCTTTGAGGATGATGGTTTAACCATCTGAGGATGATGGTTTAACCCTGGAGGATGATGCTTTAACCTTTTAAGGATGATGGTTTAACCCTGGAGGATGATGCTTTAGCCCTTTAAGGATGATGGTTTAACCCTCTGAGGATGATGCTTTAACCCTTTGAGGATGATGGTTTAACCCTCTGAGGATGATGCTTTAACCCTTTAAGGATGATGGTTTAACCCTCTGAGGATGATGCTTTAACCCTATGAGGATGATGGTTTAACCCTTTGAGGATGATGGTTTAACCCTTTGAGGATGATGGTTTAACCCTGGAGGATGACGCTTTAACCCTTTGAGGATGATGGTTTAACCCTCTGAGGATGATGCTTTAACCCTTTAAGGATGATGCTTTAACCCTCTGAGGATGATGGTTTAACCCTTTGAGGACAATAGTTTAATCCTCCAAGACTCAGAGTGCTAATGGATGCTCTATAGACCATATCAAACTGAACAAGGGCAGAGCATTAGCATGTACAAGTGATGCCGTATCTATCATAATCCATGTTAAGAGGACTGTAGGTAACTGTCACATATGATCACAATTCACTAAGACAATCTTCTTCCAACAGGGCATCAGGATACACTGCCTTAGAGCAAGTTAGGTTAAAGTCTGATCTTATATGTTCGTTACTAAATAAAATTAACCAAGTGGATCAGGGGACAGATAGACTTACTGGCCCTCTGGTACAACATATTCCTTCCATAAGTGACAATGAATACAAATGGATAGTAAGTAATGCTGCACTGAAACACTTAGCCACTCGCACACTAACTGAAGCCAAGCGTTGGATTCATGTTAAAGCAATACACACAATATTTCAAATAAAATGTTAATTGAAAGCTGTTAGGACGAAAACTGTTATATATTCCAACTTTAAAAGCAATTATTAAATGTAAAAGAAATTACTATATACTGTATAATAATTAGGTACGTATTATGAAGCACAAGGCATTGACAATCCACTCCTCTCACATAACATTCAAGTAGGAACTTTACAACAAAACAAAGACAAGATTCAGCTAACCATTTTTCCTCTAGTTATGGAATGGTCATGTAAAGGTTCATACTCAACACCAGCATAGTCTGTAAAGCCTGGCAGGGGATGATACTCTGGCAGTAATGGTTGTTGAGCCTCAGGGGAAGAACCAGATGAGGTTGAAGACACACTGGTGCTGCGCTCAAAAGTACATTCCTCTGTAATATCATAACAGTGTGAGAGTTACTAATACAAATTAGGTTTCTGGCTAGGTAATAATTTGTTGATAAATATTCAAATAACATCACCATTGTATAACCATAATACGGTTAAAACTAGTTTGTAGCATTACCACTGTGTACACCAATATGAGGACTGCCAGCAAAACATTCAGGATCTTTCTGAAGATCAAGATCATCTCCCAGTCCTATGTCAGAGTCTAAACCTGTGCTAAAGGTGACAGCAGCCAGAGGGTGAGGCACAGTGAAGCAGGGGTCTGGCTGAGGGGACGGCTGAGGACTCGGACATTCAGAGTCTAACAATAGCCTACGAGATCCCTCATCGTCTTGAATCCTGAAAAAACAAGAGTAACTTTGCACAATCTAACCTCCAAAGTTTCAAATACAACTATTCTACCTGTCCAGCTTATACAATGACAAAGGTTAGTGAGAATACAGAAGAGAACAAGCTCAATTGTCTGCCACTCAAGTTTCAATATCAGGCCAGCTGACTATATCTGGTCTAAAACCATAGTATGGCCAATCCTTGGTTTATAAGCTTCTGACGTAAGACCATCCTCTCATACCAACATTATATTTCATGACAATGCTTTGGTCTTTCCATCAAATATTCATTACACTCGTACCAGAACATATTTTTCAAACATATCGCCACAGATCAGGGAAAAGCAGGAATTCACACTTAAATGTAGTAAAACAGATCAGCAGCTGTCTCTTCTGTGAATTCCCCTCCACAGTGTTGCTCACAGTTTCCCTCCAAATCACCCATTTCCTCCTCTAATACAGCTCCTCCACCTCTCCTCTGATATAACAGTCATGCTGGAACCAAGGTACAGTAATGTCCTTTATTTAAGTAACTGAATCATAATCATTTAATTATATATATATAATTTTACAGAGTATTGTACTGAATTAATATTACTGTATATAATAATATCAATTCATGCATTCATGTTTTGATAACTATGTATTTATTAGTGTTTTTATTTTTTTAAATGTGGTTTTCACTGAAATCGGGTGACCAATTAATTATTATAAATATCAGTTTCAATTAGATTTATTAACCTGGTTAACAAAGACATTTCCAGGAACACATTAAATTTGTCAACTGGTGACTGCCTTAACTGTACTGAACTGTACTGTATTCTAAACTTCAAGAAAAAAATCTTCCAACCTTTTCTGAGTAATGAACATTAACAAAAAAGTCACAAGTTTAAGATACATATTGCTGTACCCTGTAACAGTTTTTTAAATAAAATGTGCTAAGTGGGAATGTTAGTGTGTTTAACCATTGGTCAGTGTCCTGTTTGGTGTTATCACAGAGACTTGTGTGTGTTTTATCCCAAACATCTTGTTATATTACTGCATTTATGCCAGGCTACCATAGAAAAAGAAGTGCAGGGTACTGAACCCCCATAAAGAAGGTAAGTTCAATTTCTAAATACTATACTGTACATTATTCATTACCATAGATGTGCGTTTTGATGGTGGGTAATGGGGGAACAACGAAAACTTCCCAATACCGGACAGGACTTGTACAAATTAGTCTAGTACTGTATTGGGAGGGTTTACCACATATACTGTACAGCACACACACAAGGCCAAGCGGAGAACCACGTTCTTAGACTCCCCAACTTGGTGACACAATGAGATAAGGAATAAATCTTAATTTTACACTAATATTGACTCATTCAGGACATAAGGCCAAGACTTGGGTTAACTTTTTCATGGTAGTACTGTACAGTATAATCAAAATCCATAAAACTGTAAGAGTAATTAGAAAAAATCAAATTTAAGGAAAATTCTATCAGGTTGAGGGAACAATCATGAGTAACAAGAATTTTCTCTTAACAACACTGACTAAACACCAATTAATTCAGCTAGTGAAAAGTTTACCCCACACACATACATACACACACAGAACTGTATCTGCCTTGAAATTTATTAGTTTTTAAATTTCTGTATGTCTATAACAGGTAAAATAAAATGCATCAGATGATCCTACTCAGAGCTAAGAGGGCAACTGGGTATCGAGAGTATTGGTGAGGGGTTTGATCAAAGGCAGACTGAGATGGTTCAAGTATGTGGGGAGAATGAAGGAGATCAACTAGGTCAAGGGGGTGCACAGGTTTGAATGTGGTGGAGAAGAGAACTATGGAGTGGTCAAGAATGACATGGGAAGAGGCTGTAAGAAATGATCTAACAAATAAGGACCTGATGAGTGACAAAGCAGAGTCTACACAACATGGAGAGTTGCCATCGGGTAATCTTGGATAAACCACACAAGAGTGGATGAAAGTTCGAGACAATTTAAATGTGATAAGATCATAACAAGAAAACTGGACTGCATAAAAAAACAGATTAGTGATAATAAGGAAGCACTTATCTTAGTACTGTGGTACACTTAAATTGCCCAGATAATTTGATAAAGCAGATAATTGAATGTGTGCCAATATAATAAACTATGACAAACTTCTAAAAAGATTGTTTAAATTAAGTTTTTTTAATACACAACTGCATCACAAATAACAACAAAACATTAAAATAAAACATTCTTAAATACCACAAAGTTTTAATCTTTTATTCAAATGTAATAGGAAGTTAATGTTACTTTGGTTAGTCTTGGAACATGAAAGGTAGCCAGGTAGTTCAGTATTAGGACAGTAACAACAAAATAAAATCATCTAAAACTTACTGCACATTATGAGCAATGTAACCCATGCCCTCTGAGTCTACACATGTGCTATCTGACTGGCCTACATCTGCCGAGTCATCTGAAGTGTAAATAATACAGGGAAGAGCTTCATTATCATTATCGTCCGAGCGAGAGATGCTGGAACGAGAGTCATCCGAGTCTGAACCACCGATCTGGGAATATTCACCTCCACCAATAATGCCAGATCCACCAACACCCCCCCCTCCTCCAGCACCAAAGGCTCGTAGATGTTGCTTGTCCATCAATCTGAAATTATTAAAACCAAATAAAGAAACATAAAATTAACAAGGTATATTATCTTATACTACATATAACAGTCCAGAGTGCTATACTATATATTACTGCCATGTTCATCCACATTGTTTCCCCCAACTTATCTAAAATCGACAGGTTAACCTACCAGCCCCAGCAAGGAGGTTAGGTTAGGTAGGTTTAACTGGTTATGTTTGTTAGGTCAGGTTCTGTTAGATTCTGTGCATTATCGTTTCCATTTTCCTGTTTAGCACTGTTCAAATAGTATCTCCAGAAATTAGGATTTAATTCCATAATTTATTTCTATTGCTAACTGTGTTCTCCACCTTTATCCACAAAATTACCATTACAACAGTGTAGCATCTCAGCAGACACAACCTACAGCACTGCCACACTAGACCACAGATCAATCATTGCTTTGTTCTGGGTCCGACTAATTACCCAAATGTCCCCAAATGTAGCCAAATGTAGCCAAATATAGCCGGAATGAAGTCAAATAATGGTCCTAGATGAATAAATTGGACTGCCAATCACTTCTCGACTCGTATTTGGTGTCAGAAAGTCACAAAAAATTGGAAAACTTACTTTAATCTGAGTTAATAGATCGAGTGCATGTACCTAACCTAACCTAGTCTAATCTAATTTAAACTAAACTAAACTAAACTAAACTAACCTAACCTAACCTAACCTAACCTAACACAACTCAGATTAAATTAAGTTTACCAATTTTTTTTGACTTTATGACACCAAATAATAATCGAGAAGTGATTCACAGCCCAAATTACGCTTGTAGGACCATCTTTTGACTTCATTGCGGCTACATTTGGCTACATTTGGGTAATTCCTCGCTCCGTCGGTACATGCAAGCGATCTATTAACTCAGATTAAAGTAAGTTTTCCAATTTTTTGTGACTTTCTGACACCAAATAATAATCGAGAAGTGATTCACAGCCCAAATTACGCTTGTACGACCATCATTTGACTTCATTCCGGCTATATTTGGCTACATTTGGATAGTCAGACCACTTTGTTCCCCTTAAAATGACATAATCCATTTATATTTTGTTTTATAAATTAATAAAGTAAATAACCAAACACTTCTTAAGGCAATTCAGTCATAATTGCTTTCCTCTACCATTAGTTTACATCTTATAAATTAAATTAAATGATTCAGTGAACATTCTGAACAAAACAATCCATTATCAAGTATTGTAACTAACAAACTACGGCATTGTGCATATTTTATCAATAACTATGGTAACTGACAGTACAGTATTGTGGTCAGAGACAGAAGGAAGCTAAATATGGTGAGAAGCAACAGTGATAGTGCAAAGACGTAGAATAAAACACACACCTTAGATCCCTGGCAGCCTTCACCAGCTCTCCTGAGGTATTTTGGCACAACTACTAATTATCAATATGTCACGTTTTATCTTTCTTGGTTAAATGTAATATTAGTCATTATTATTTGACTCTATAATATGTAATATAGGATATGTGACGTGGACTGACCTGGACGAGAGATAATACCCGAGTTATATTAATAATACTTAAAGAGCCTCCTCACTGAGTCACTCCTCAGGCAGACGACAACACCAGCTGGTAATATGTTGCCCAACTACCACGAACAACATCCCTTACCTATAGACTTTTTTTTTTTGAAGGGCGGCAAAATTAATTAACCAAATCTAATATAACTAATATGAACCCTTATGATTTTTAAGATGCTGATGGTTACTTCGTGTCTGAATAATGAATGATTGTCTTACTCTTGATATTTTCCAACATTGTCCTTTTACTGTCTGTAAGGGACAAGTTGTACATTTTATTACAAGAAATTTTACATAAATCTCGTTGGCAAATACCGTTCTGCGTATTTAGATTTGGAGTATAAGTTTTAATATAGTCACCATATCATGAAATTTGATGCCCAAAGCCGATTACGTGTTAGTAGATGTAACAACACTTACGCCATCTATTATATATTTTAGGTAGTAGTGTAGGGCTATCGAGATATTAATGTTGTCTAGCACTCAGGATGGAAGGAAACTCTAATGTGGTTTTCTTGTATAATATAAGATATATGATAGACTGTCTGGTGCTGGAGGTGCCGTGTGGTGAGGGGCTGCTTGGTAGAGACGTGCGGTGAGTAGCTTGTTGAAGGAGATAGATGTGCAGGAGCTTCGTTAGAGAAGATGTTGCCTGTTGCTGGCCTCCTGATTGAATGAATGCTGGACAGCTAGGAGCTTGCTGGAGGAGATGTTGCTTGTTCAGGAAAATGGGCAGAATGAGAGTTGGTTGGTGAGGAAGCTCAGAGAAGGACATGCTCGCTGGCGGGAGCGAGGACCGCCAGGCAGGCGGAGGAGAGGCGAGGGTCGCCAGGCAGCGGCAGAGGAGGAGGTGTTGCTTGTTCAGGAAGATTGGTCAGACTGAATCTCAATGGAGAGACAGCTTATATACACCCAGCAGCAGCCGCCAGTCCTCTATGAGTCATGTTGGGAAAACCCGAGAAGTAGCCGGTGACTAGTTCCGTTGCTAAGATACGGTAACATCTGGTTGGTTGCTAGGGAAGGCGGCACATTGGAATGCGATAGGCAGTTTGTAGGGGAGACGTCCACTACAATACTCCCCCTCCCTTCCAGGCGGTGTAGGAGACTTGTTGTTTGTAGAGTTGCTTAGCACATGTGAGGAAGACCGGGCGGTGCATGCCTCATGTGAGACAACGGCGATGGCGTGATGAGCCGATCGCTGAAATACAACTGTCTAGATACACACGATCTGTGGGAGAAGGGAGAAAAAGGGTGTGTGGAGGCGATGAATGTTGTGCTTCCCTCACGACAGGTACAGGGTCGTCAGATGCGCCTGCTGGGGTGTGTGTGTGGGCCTGGATCAGGAGCAGGGGCTGGGTCAGCAGAAGCGGGATTAGGGCTCGTGACAGCAGCTGGGTCCACGACAGCAGCCAGGGTGCAGGACATTAGCAGGTAGTACCTGAGGGAGAAAAGAGGGGTGTGTGTGGGTCTGGATTCAGGAACAGAGGCCGCATCAGGGGTTGCTGCTGGGCCGGGGTCGGCGTCTGAGGCAGGACGGGTGTGCTGGGGTCGTCAGAATGTGGTGCGTGAGGCAGGAAGAGGAGCCGGTGTCTGCTTGAAGACTGGGAGCGTGATCAGTGTCTCCTCCATCCATATTAATGTTGTCTAGCACTCAGGATGGAAGGAAACTCTAATGTAGTTTTCTTGTATAATATAAGATATATGATAGACAGTCTGGTGCTGGAGGTGCTGTGTGGTGAGGGGCTGCTTGGTAGAGACGTGCGGTGAGTAGCTTGTTGAAGGAGGTAGATGTGCAGGAGCTTCGTTAGAGAAGATGTTGCCTGTTGCTGGCCTCCTGATTGAATGAATGCTGGACAGCTAGGAGCTTGCTGGAGGAGATGTTGCTTGTTCAGGAAAACGGGCAGATTGAGAGTTGGTTGGTGAGGAAGCTCAGAGAAGGACATGCTCGCTGGCGGGAGCGAGGACCGCCAGGCAGGCGGAGGAGAGGCGAGGGTCGCCAGGCAGCGGCAGAGGAGGAGGTGTTGCTTGTTCAGGAAGAATGGTCAGAATGAGAGTTGGTTGGTGAGGAAGCTCAGAGAAGGACATGCTCGCTGGCGGGAGCGAGGACCGCCAGGCAGGCGGAGGAGAGGCGAGGGTCGCCAGGCAGCGGCAGAGCAGGTGTTGCTTGTTCAGGAAGATTGGTCAGACTGAATCTCAATGGAGAGACAGCTTATATACACCCAGCAGCAGCCGCCAGTCCTCTATGAGTCATGGTGGGAAAACCCGAGAAGTAGCTGGTGACTAGTTCCGTTGCTAAGATACGGTAACATCTGGGGACAGCTCTCGCTTGGTTGCTAGGGAAGGCGGCACATTGGAATGTGATACGCAGTTTGTAGGGGAGACGTCCACTACAGTAGGTAGTACGCAGCAACCAAACAGGGAGGTACTGTACAGTACTACCGCCTGGGAAGATATTGGAAGCATAATGTGTTATATAATAGTAGACCCTGCTGCCATATGGCATCACGAAAATTGTGACCAAGTTCCAGGCTGCTCATCTGACTTTCTGCCTCATTTACACACAATTGTAGGGTCTCAATTGTTTCTCTTACATTGATAGTATATATATATATATATATATATATATATATATATATATATATATATATATATATATATATATATATATATATATATATATATATATATATATAAGTTAAACTTAGGAATTGTTGAACAGCTAGGATGCCAATTATAAATTATACAGTGTTTTGTTAGTGGCTATTCATATACTGTACAGTACATCGCTAACGCCGAGATATTCGGACGGAAATGCAAAAACATAAGTTTTGAAACACATTAAAAGGTAAATGGTTTTAAAGAAAATGTTCTTAAATCCAATCCTTAAAACAGCACCTATAAAGGGAAATACTGTATAATAACGAGGAAAAGACAAAGTCCCATTCACGAGATAGAAAAATTATTGGTGATATGGATGGAAGACCAGATACAAAAGGTGTACCCTTAAGCCTTCTAACCTTACAGGCTAAGGCAAGAAGCCTGTTCACAGCAAGTCATGGGTGGTTTAACAGATTTAAGAACCACTGCAGTTTACATAATGTTAAGGTGAGTGAAGAGGCAGCTAGTGCTGATGTTGTTGTTGCCGAAGCTTTTAAGAAGGAACTAGATTGTGTGATCGTGGAAGGAAATTATTTGCCTGAGCAAATATTCAATGTGGATGAAACTGGATTATTATGGTGTAACGACCACGGTCGTACACGTCAGTTAACGCCAAAATCAAATGATTCATATTACGCTCACTAGCCCACAAAACATGTACCTCTGCTTTATTTTTGAGTCCTCCATCTGAGGAGTCCGTTTTCTCGTCACTTCAAGACGCCTCAGTCCTCCGTTATCCCATTTTCTCTGACTTACTGAAACCAACCTCTCTATAAAATGAATTTGAATGTGAGAGAGAACACCCTGGTTTAGAGTCAGCTTAGATATGTCTGTTTATAGTTGAAACATTCAAGATCCATTGTGAGTGGTGTTGAACGCTTCAACTGTCCTTATTGTTAATAAGACGTGTCAAGTAAGTGAGTGTTGAGTCTGCCAGGACAAACGATACCCATCGGTTTCGTTCCCTAAGAATACCCATGAGTTTCTGATCGCTACTGAAGTTATGTTATTTTGTCGACCCGACATCAGAGAATCTGATGTTTGTAGTTTAGTTAGAGTCAGTTGTCTATTTAAGAAAGTCATTAATTTCCTGAATTATTCTGTCAACTGGTATAATCTCCAAGATCTAACGTCTCCCTGTGAATAGCTCCTTGTTCGCCTCAGGCCTGAGTTTGCAGAATTGATGTTATCAACGTGTATATTCCACCTTTTCCTGGCAAGCTCAACCTCTGATTAGATTATAAGAATAGATATAGGAAATTACCCTGATCAGGAATACCGGAGTTCATAATTAAGTATACGGTGATCCAACATGGTAGAGAAGGTATGTTGTTGGTAAGATTGACCTTTCTGGCATGAATATGGAGGCCCAAGCTGCCCCCCGGGTGCACGTATATACCTCTACACGAGGGAGAATCACGCATTCGTGACTCTTCTTCCACGTCTACAGGTATGTTCACGTGTGTTCCACGCCGCCATATTAATTCAGTTTAACTTAGTCAATTTTGTGAATATCAGTGTTCATGTTAACATAGTGACTTCTGTGCCAATTAAGTCGAGTAACGTAGAGATTTAGATATCGGCTGGACCGTTGCCAGACGTATGTTTTGTATAGTTGAAGTTAATTATTGACGCATTCGTGACTCTTCCTCAACGTATCTCCAGACGCGGATGTGTTATCCACTCTCCTGAGGGTCGATAACTACCTATGGGCACCATGGTTCTTTCTGTTGTTCTAGTCCCAGCTCTGCAGGGGTTAAGCCCTCTAGTGTGGGATATTGAGCAACTAAGTCTTCCAGCCGCCCTTCTCTTACTACTCTCACGGGTCTACTTAATGCATCCGCTACAACATTTGCTTTACCGGGTTTATAATCAATGGTAAAGGAATATTCCCTCATTTCTAACATCCACCTGTTCATCCTCTGATTCTTAGTCTTCTTCCTGAAGACTGAGGTCAGAGGTTGGTGGTCAGTTTTGATAGTAAATTGTGTGCCCCACAAAAAATGGTGGAAGAACCGGCATGCTAACACAATTCCGAGGGCTTCCTTATAGGTGGTAGAATAGCGAGTCTCAGCGGGTTTTAATTTTCTGGAAAAATAACCGACCGGACGTAACGAGCCATCGGTCTGCACCTGATTGAGTGAAGCTCCTACACAGGTGGCACTGGCATCGCTGTGCAATTCAAAAGGTTTATCGGCATCTGCCTTAACGAGAACCGGAAACGATGTGAGGGCGTGTTTCAACGTATCAAAGGACTTCTGACATTTATCGGTCCACACAAAGGGGACATTTGCTTTA